CTACCTTGACGAAAATATTCCATTACCTTTAGGTGACCTTTCTCTGAGACGTGGAAGTAGAGAGCTGCAACTGTGGGTCAGGTGCAGGGTGACTTTGCTAGCGTTCCCTGAGAGACGGGGCTGATGGATGGCATCTAAGCCCTGCTTCCCTAATCCTTCAGGCAGAAGGCAAAGTCTCTATAGGGTAATCCTGAGTGATTCATGGTGTGGCAGCGGCACTCTCAAATCACAAGAATACAAACTGACAGCTTGCACACACTGGCCTCAGGATGGTATTTACTTAAGATCTTCTCAGGGTACACTCCCAATGGCTGCATGCAGGGACAACCCTCTACGAAAGGCTAACAAATAAAGAGGCACCAACATTTTACATAAGGCCACCAGATTTACAGGAACAAAGGTATTGTTCTCAACAGTCACCTCTCTTTCAGGCCCACTTTGCACTTATGTACCATTGAATCAGGAAACTGGTTTGTTGGTGGACCTCAAGAATAGTCCTTCAAAAGACAAATATGAAATAAAAGGGAAATAAAGTCGAACCTTGAGATAGCCCCTACATACTGTCATAAAGTTTAGACGATAGAGCTAAACATCAAAGCAATGAGTCAAGCATGGTGGTAAGCCTATAATCTCAACATTCGGGCAGTTGAGACAAGAGGATCTCAAGCTGGAGACCAGCCTGGACTACACAGAAACACCCTGCCTATAAATAAATAAGTAAATAGCAATGAAATAGATGAATACTAAAAACCATACTTGAAGAAAACTGGAGAAGTTCAAGAGCACCAACACTTAATCCTGACTCTTGACAAGGAAAACTTGTGGGGCTAAGGAGATGGCTTAGTTGGTAAACTGCCTACTATACAAGCATAAGGACCTGAGTTCAAATCCCTAGCACCCACATAGAGAACAGAGTGGTGCTCACCTGCAATCCCAGCACTATGGAAATAGAACAGGAGGATCCTTGGGCTTTTTTGGCAGTCAGTCTTGCCAAATCAGTGGGCTCAGGTTCAGCAGGAAAACTGACTCAAAACATAAAAGGTAGGAGTGGGGGGTGATTGTGCACATCTTTAATTCCAACACTCAGAAGGCTGGAGCAGGCAGATCTCTGTGAGCTGGAGACCCGCCTGAGGTAAGTAGTAAGGTCTAGGCCAGCCAGGACCATCCAATTACCCTGTCTCAAAATTTAAAGAAAAAAAAGCAAAAGTAAGATTCAGATTCAGAAAGATGGAAGAAGATATTTGATGTTGACCTCCAGCCTCTACATGCACTTGTATATACACCCAGGTTCCACACCAAAAAAAATTGAAGTTTTTCAAATAGAAAACTTGCATGAAGATGCCCCTAAGAAAATATTTAATTCCCTTATTTTGTAAAAGAGACCTGGGAGATGATGTCAAAAAGCCAGTAGTCAAAGGTCAACTCTCACTGTCTGTGTCTGCATTGCTGGCAACTCCATTGCCTTGAAGAGAATGTCAAAACCAGAAACACTTTTTACTTAAGAGAAATATTAAGGTCACCCATGCAGTGGCATTCTGGAGGTGGACTCTGAACTCACGGGGAAAGATGCAGTGAGTTTGGGAAATTCCTGTGAATCCTGCAGGACCAACTCAGAACTTCATCACCACTGGCATTTGCACGGGCTCCTTGTCTGCTCAAACATGATAATCTTTTCCATCAATAGGCATGGCAGCTTCCTTTCCTTTGTGTGTAAGCCCATCATGTGTTGACCTGCAAGACACTCTCTGCCACTTCATGGCTGTCTTTGACAGCCTTTGTCTTTGACAAACCGCTGTTGGCCCCTTCCTTGTCCAGAGCATGAAGCAGCAACAAGGGGGAAGGAAAATGAGGTGGCCTGAGCTGGCAACACAACAGGCAGAGAGGTGTGGAGGTGAGAAGATGCAGTCTCTGCTTTGCCTCTTCTTACCTATTGTGCATGAGTATTTTTATGTTCATTTGTTCTTTTAAAATTGCATATATGTGTGTGCTTGTGTGTGTATCTATAGAAAGACAGACAGACAGACAGATGATACATCAGCAGATGCTGTACTGTTTTATTTCCTTTTCAGATCTAGGTATTGAACCTAGGGCCTGTACATAGTAAACATGCTTTGTACCACTGAACTATATGCCAGTCTCTTACCATCACTAACTGATGTTCAATTCACCTTTACCATTTAGAAAAACCCTTTGGCTTAGGGTTGCTGCCATGAAGTTTAGAAGCCATCTTCCCAGCCAAGCCAGACCGGCTGGTCAGAGAGCCCCAGGGGTCATCTTGTCCTTGACCCATCCCTCCAAGGCTGAGATCACAAGCCCATGCCACCATGCCCTAGTTTTTCACACTTTTTCTAGGGGAATAAACTTAGCTCCTCATGCTTGAAGAGAACTTCACTATAAGCCATTATCCCAGCCCTCTCTGAGACATTACAAAACCAGCCTTCTCTCCTGCAATGCTCATGCACTCAGATGTTCATATATTCCTATGACATGGAAAGGGGCTTATAAATCTTACAGAGAGTTGAAATGGCTTGGATCCTTCCCTCAAAGAGGTGAGCAGACTACAAGTACGGGACAGTAACAGGTGTCTCGGGTACCCATTTTTAAAGCTGAGATGGGCAGATTCTTATGTACATGAAGAGCAGGGACATTGGTCAATGGGAAGCAGCATGCACTAGCATGTACCTATGTCCAATCCCCAGCACCCCACCCCCACCACCATCCATCTCCATAGGGGGTAAGGCTTTCCTTGAGGAATCAACGAAGTCTGGCATATCAAGCCCCTTACATGATTCTTAGAAGGGCAGAAAATTTTGCCATTTAAATAGAACTGGTACAAAGAAGAAATACAAATAATTAAAAGCCATACCAAGTGTGAGAGAAAAGGTCACAATGGCAGTTTAAGTTATTTTCTGCTTCCTATGTAGCTTGGAATATGAGTCAATACAACCTAGAGATTGATCTGGCATAATTACAAATAGAAAATTTTGGATTTCAGCCCAAACTCAATATACATACATGTCACCCTTCTCACTGCAGCTGCTGCCCTTCATGGCTGGGTGATCACTAATTCTTACCAGAGAGACAGCTCAAGCAGGACCTAGAGCAGCTGAAGTCATGTATGGACAGTCAGCCTTCAAAACTTAGTGAAATTTTTGAGATAGAAACTTTCTTTCTCAAAATAAAAAAATTCAAGGAATAAAAATGCTGCATGAGAAGGGGATGGCACTTGAAGAAACCATCCTGAATGAGGTAACCCAGTCACAAGAAGAGGAACACAGTATGTTCTCACTCGTATATGGATTTTAGACCTAGAGCAAAGGATCATCAGCCTATAATTCACCAGAGGAACTAGGATACAAGGTGTATTCTAAGCGATTCATATAAAGTCCCTCACAGAACCGGGAAGGGACAAGTCCCCCAGAGCACAGGGGAAGTGGGGGGGGGGGCAGCGAATGGAGAAAGAAGTAGGAGAAAACGAGAGGGAGGAAAGGAAAACATGTGTGACCAGGAAGATTGAGCCTGGTTAGGAATAGAAGACAGGAAAGAGAGAGAGAGAGAGAGAGAGAGAGAGAGAGAGAGAGAGAGAGAGAGAGAGAGAGAACATAAAAGAGGGAGTCAATTTTGGTTTGAAGATAAAATTGAACACAAAGAAAGGTCGAGAGAACTACAAGACTGCTCCCAACTAACAATTTGAGTTTCCGTGGAAAGGCTACCATAAATGCCCTTCCTGGAGAGTGAGATCAACAACTAACTTATCCATGGAGCCCTCAACTAATGACTGTTGGAAATAGGATCAAACACCCATACATAAACACTGAGTCGAACTAGAACCCAGATGCAGATGGAGAGGACAAGACCATGCGGCAGAAACACATACAGACAGCTTACCTGAGGAACTAATGGCCACTAGACTGATAGCTGGGAAGCCAGCATGGGACTCAGGCCCCCCTGAATATGGGTCTCAGCCAGAAGGACTGAGCAGTCTAAGTCCATTCAGACAGTGGAGCCAGGATGTATCCCTGGTGCACAAAAGGACTTTGTGAACACATTCCCCATGGAGGGATAACTGCCTTAACCTAGAGACAGGAGAAAAGCCCTAGTCCCTAGTTCACATGACCTGTCAGATCTACATGACCCCAACTGGATGGCATTCCCCTACATATGGAATTGGGGTGGGGGATGGGAGGGGAGGGTGTTTAGAGTGCATGTGAGAGGGCAGAGAGGGAGGAAAGGAGGGAGGGAGGGAGAGAGGGAGACAAAGAGGGAGGGGAGAAGGGAGGGAGGGAGAGGGAACTGGGATCAACATGTAAAATAATAAATTAAATTAAAAAAAATGCTTTGACTCCAAAATTTAAGTTGAAGGACAAGTTACTAAAAAAAAAAAAGAAAAGAAAAAAGAAAAAAAAAAATGCTGCATGAGCCGGGCATTGGTGATGCATGCCTTTAATCCCAGAACTTGGGAGGCAGAGAACTCAGGTCTCTGAATTGAGACCAGCCTGGACTACAAGAGCTAGTTCCATGACAGCCTCCAAAGTCACAGAGGAACCCTGTCTCAGAAATTAAAAAAAAAAAAAAGACTGGGTGATATAAATTATATCTCAGGGTTAAAGTACTTGTCTAACATATGTGAGACTCTTGACTTAATACCCAAAAGGAGAAGAGACAAATGAGAATGACAAATAAATTTACAGATGAAAATGGAATTATTATAGAAGATGCCACTGAAATTCAAAGATCATTAGGGAGTATTTTGGAAGACAATATGACAATAAATTAGAAAATCCATAATAAATGGGCTGATTCCAATGTTGCAAATGAATCAATAAGATATAAGAAACTTAAATACACCAATAACAAGTAATAATATTGAGTCAGATATAAAAGTTCTCAAAATAAAGAAAAGACCAGGACTGGATGGATTTGTTAGTGAATTTTACCAGCTTTTAAAAGAAAAACTAGCCACAGTCTCCTCCTGGTCCAGCGCTCCCGCTCGTAGACGACTTCCCCGGTGCAGACATGGCCTTGGGTGCTGCCTGCGCGCCAGTGAATATTGGAATAATTGGTAGAACAGGCTTGAATGATCCAGAAATTTTAGAAGGAAGAACTGAGAAATATGTAGATACTCCATTTGGCAAGCCATCTGACACCTTAATTTTGGGGAAGATTAAAAAAAATGTTGATTGTGTGCTTCTTGCAAGACATGGGAGACAGCATACCATCATGCCTTCAAAGTCAACTACCAGGCAAACATCTGGGCTGTGAAGGAAGAAGGTTGTACACATGTCCTAGTGACCACAGCTTTCTGGTCTTTGAGAGAGGAGATCCAGCCTGGTAACATGATCATCATCGATCAGTTCATTGACAGGACATCCCTAAGGCCTCAGACCTTCTATGATGGTAGTCACTGCAGCGCCAGAGGGGTGTGCCATATCCCAATTGCTGAACCATTTTGCCCCAAGACAAGAGAGGTCCTCATAGAAACAGCCAAGAAGCTTGGTGTTCGATGCCATTCCAAAGGGACAATAGTCACAATTGAGGGGCCTCGTTTCAGCTCTCAGGCAGAAAGTTTTGTATTCCGTACTTGGGGTGCAGATGTTATCAATATGACTACAGTTCCAGAGGTGGTGCTTGCCAAGGAGGCTGGGATTTGCTGTGCAAGCATTGCCATGGCAACCGATTATGATTGTTGGAAGGAACATGAAGAAGCAGTGTCAGTGGATGGGGTTTTAAAGACCATGAAAGAAAATGCCAACAAAGCCAAAAGCTTGCTCCTTACTACCATACCCCAAATAGGGTCAATGGAATGGTCAGACACGCTCCGAAACCTGAAGAATATGGCCCAGTGTTCTGTTTTACCACTAAGACATTAACACAGCATGGCTGCCACAAGGAGACTTATGACTTCTACTTCTAGTCTTTGGGGGACTTTTGCTTAAACAAAAATGGGAAAGTTATGTGGCCTTCATGCCTTTGCCTGGAAAGAGCATGTGCTAAGAGAGAGATGGTGCACTCCACCAAGATACCAACTCCTCCAGAACCTGGAAGGAAAGCAGTACCTGCAGGAATATAAGCCCAAAACCTTGTCAATCATTTCTCCTATTTAACTGACAACAAAGGCTGGTGAGAACATCTGTCCCCCTACACTGCTAACAAATGGGACTGTGTGCTTTGTATATTGGCGCTATCTTTCCGGAAGGCAATTTGATACAATACATCTGAGGCTGAAAATTACTGGATGCACTTTGGTACGCTAGTAATTTCTCATTTGGAAGTTATGGGAGATTCATTCGAAAAATCACGTGTAATCTCAAAAAAAAAAAGTTAGATGTAATCAATCAAGTGGGAATCAAGTTCACTTCATGCTATAAAATGAAGGGGAAAAGGTATAAGCATTTATGATGCTGGTTTTTTGTTTTAAATGGTATGCAAATATACAAAAAAAGACTAGAAGGGAATATACATAATCCTATTAACTGTATTTGTGAAGAGATGCCGGATAATTCTTACTTTTCATCTTTTCTCTACTTTTTTTAAAAAAGTAAGTATAATCAAATAATAAAGGTGTAAAATTAAAGTGGAAAAAAATAAAAGAAAAACTAACAATGTTCCTCAAACTCATCCATAAAATAGGAAAGAAAGGAGTGCTTTCAAACTCATTCTATGAACCTAATTAGGTCATGCCACTAAGCCTGATAAGGACACGGACACACACACACACACACACACAAACAAACAGAAAGAAAGAAGGAAGGAAGGGAGGGAAGGAAGGAAGGGAGGACAACATCCTAATATACATACAACATTCTTAATAAAATGATTGCAAAACATATTCAACAGCACATTAATAGGTCATACACCATAATAAGCTTTTATTCCAGGAATGCAAGGATAGCTTGTTGTATGCAAATCAATAAACAAAATAAATCAAAGAAAATTTGCATGATCCTTTCAATAGTTGCAGGAAAAGCCTTTGGTATAATCCAGCATCTTTTTATGAGAAAATTCCTAAATAAATTTGGTGTAGACGGATAGCATCTTCAACACAATAAAGGTTCCATATGAAAAATATATATGACTAATATTATACTAAACAGAGGAAACTGAAAACATTTCATCTAAGATCAGGACCAAGACACTTGTGTCCACTCTTACCCCTCATATTCAAAATAGCATTAGAAATATTAACCAGATAAATTAGACAAGAGAAAAAAGCATAGAGACAAGGAAGAGGAAATTCAAGTTACCTACACATGCTGAAGGTATGAGTCTATGCATGGAAAACCAAAAGTACTATAACCAAAGGTCTTTTGGATCTGATAAACAACTTCTTAAGGTAGCAGAAAAACATGCAAAATAAACATGCAAACATCAGGAACTTTTCTATATATCAATAATGAATCCCTGAAAAATGAACACTCCTATCAACCAAATGGAAATCAAACTACATAGGAATAAGCCTAACTAAGGATGTGGAAACCTCAACAGTGAAAATCATAAAACACTGAAGAATGAAATTGAAGAGACACTAGAAGATGGAAAAGCTATCCATATTCACAGATTAGGGGAATCAACATTATTTAAAATGGCAATACTGCTACGAACAAGCCATAAATCTAATAAGATCTCTACCAGAATACCAGTACAATTCTTCAAGAACACAAAAGACCCCAAATAACCAAAACAAATATAAGCAGAAAGAGTAATATTGGAGGTATAATAATACTTATCTCAAGTTACATACTCTACAGAGTCAATGAGACAAAAACTGTAGTACTGGTACAAAAATAGACACATCGCCTTATGAAATAGAATAGATGACCCAGTAATAAATCCATGAATCTTCAGCCAATTGATTCTTAACTAAAGTGCCAAAAAAGCAGACCTTGGTGGAAAGACAGACTTTTCGACAGATGCCACTGGGGAAAGTGAGGAACCACGTGAGAAGGGAAACCTGGGTTCCTGTCTCTCATCCTATAAAAGAATCAATTCAAAATGAATGAAAGGCTATAATATAAAACTCAAAACTACTAGAAGAAAGCTTACTGGAAATATTTCAAAATATTGGCACAAATGGCCATTTCCTGGATAGGATATCAATAGCCAAGGAAATAAAAACAAGAATTGACAAATGGGATCCTGTCAAGTCAAAAGGCCTCTGCTCAGCCAAGGAATAAACAACAAAGAGAAAGACAATCTGCAGAATGAGAGAGTCTATGCCATCTATTCATTTGACAAAGGATTAATATCTCACATACATAAAGAATTCAAAAATTAAAACACACAAGTAATCCAGTCTTAAAATGAACAGAAGACTTGAATAGATGTCTCAAAAGTACAAGTGGAGGAGGGAGGGAGGAAAGGCGGGAGAGGGAACTGGGATCGACATGTAAAATAATAAATAAATAAATAGAAAAAAAAGTACAAGGGGCCAATAAGTCAATGAAGAAAATGGTTGATTACTTTTAGCAATCAAGAAACTGCAATTTACATTGAGATAGCCAATCAGAACGGCTATTAGCAATAGAAGTATCATCACCAACAATAAAAGCTAGGTATTATGGGTCACATCTATAATGTCAACACTGAGGAGTCTAAGACAGGAGGATCAGTAAGAATCAAAGTGAGCTTAGGCTATATAGTGAGTTCCAGGCCAGCCTGGTTACAGAATAAGTAAATAGTGATAATGACTCAAGGTGGGAGGAGGTGATTATTGGAAGGAATGTAAGTTAGTCTGGCCACTCTGAACAACATTATCTCCATATAGAGTTACTTGGTAAAGAACTACCATATGTTCCAGCTGTATGGCTCCTGGGTGTCTATGCAAAAGACCTAATTTGACATCCAACAGAAACACCTAAACAACAAGCAAGCATGGTTCGTATAGAACTGTTGACAATAGCCAAGAAGGCAGGTCAACATAGCCTGTCTACAGAATAATGGCTAAAGAAAATATGGTGAACTAGACATTTAGAGTTTTTGCCTAGCATGGTCTTTGAGACAGGGTCTCATATAGGTCACTCTGACATTTAACTCATTATATAACTGAAGATGGCCTTGAACTCTTGATCTTCCTTACTTTGCTACATTTGTCTGTGGTGTGTGTGTGTGTGTGTGTGTGTGTGTGTGTGTGTGTGTGTGTGTGTGTGTGTGTGCATGAACACACATGCCCACATATGTGCACAAGCCCAGCTGCCATGGCACAAATGTAAAGATCAGAGATCAACTTGTGAGTTTTTCTTCTCCTTCTCCTATGATTCTGGGGATAAAACTCAGATCTACACACAGTGCCCAGCACATTTCTCACTGAGCCACCTCACCAGCCCACATATTCTTTATCTTGTTTGCTGAGATTTTGCCAAAGGCAAATGCTTGGCTCTCCTCACCATAGTCTGAGTACTCAAGGAAACCAAATTCCTTTCCGTCCTAATGACCAAGGTGACAAAGCAGTGCCTCTACATTTCCTTCCAGCCATAGGACTGTCTCAAGTCCACATTGTCTTCTTTCCCATGAGACCGCTTGGAGGTGCTGACGAAAGCATAGCACGGCTAGTTCAATTTCAAATGTTGGCAAACAGGACTCTTTTAGTGCAAGCACATCCCATGCAATATTTGCAATATACTTATGCATCCTCAAAAAGCTATACATTTTCTTTGAAATACAAATCAAATGGAGCATGCTGAATTTTATCTGATGTACTCTACCTTCTGCCCCTTCCCCACACCCAGGATGTGGTCCCATGTGGGGACAAGAGTTCCTATCCACTCCCTCCAAGAGAACTGGACACTGAACAGCAAGAACAAAAGAAATAAAAATAACAAGTGACCTGAAAGCCAGCCCAACATGGAAAGAATGCCATAGCACATTTGCTGACAGAGACTGAGGGAGCTTTCCAACAAAAACAAGGAAATTTAATCTCTCATTTACAAAATGCTTCCCTCACACTAATTTGCTGAGAAAGAGAGAGAGCATGCACATGTCCGTGTAGAGACACAGCACCAACTGTGACTTATTGAGCTTCTTTTATCTTACATTACTCAAATCAAAGCCAATCCTTTTTGATAAGAGCAGAGACACCAGGAATCAGGAGGTTGGCTATGCCCCACAAGCTCCAAGCAGGTCCATTTCTTTTCCACAATCTCGCAGGCTGACTTGCTTAACCAACTGTATAAAGTGCTTCGGCTCAAAGTTGTGGGTGGCCTGTGCAAAGCTGCAGTTCCCTTCATACCCACAGCCATTGTGCTGGAATGTGATGCTCTGTCTTTGCTCCTTGGTTTGCTCCCACACAGGAGGCAGGAGTGTTGTGAATCCTAGAGGGAAGCTGCTACAGAGAAGGACATGGAGAGTTGTCTCCTCCTCACCATCAAAGAACATGCTGTGACAACTAGCTGGCTGGGAAGAAGGTGAGAGTGGCTCCCCCATGAACATTACACTTGTCTTTATGTACATGGATGTATACTATTATGCACATTGTGTAGGGATCAGAGGACAGCCTTGGATGCTGACCCTTGAACATCATCCACTTTTTGTTTGACAGAGGGTCTCTTATTGGCCTGGATTTCTGCCAAGTAGATTAGGCTGCCAGGCCAGTGAGGTTCCAGGGATCTCTCCACCTCTGTCTCCTATCTCGCCATCTCTGGGATGGCACATGTACACCAACATACATGGCTTTGTACATGTTTTCTTGAGATCAAGCTCAGATCCTTACTCTTGCAAGGCAAGCACTTTGCTGACCCAGCCATGCCCCCAGCAACTGAACAGCATAATTTTTCATTCAAAGCTCTCTGTTTTGCTCTCCTGATCTGGGCTACTGCTGCCCATGGGGTTGAACACAGCTGCAGCCCTCTGAATTTGCCTCCTAGTTCCCTAGTGCCCTGCTGAATGCCATGGTTGGATCTGAATGC